TATTAATTATAAATGCTTGGCCTTGTCTTATGCTCATCCCTCTAGCTCTTATAACTTATTTTAACCTGTTTCTCTTCATCTACATTTTGCGTCAGGGCTTTATTACCTTTCTTTCATTCTGTACGTCCTATTTTTCTGCTTCTTCTGTGTTGATCTGGAAGTTGCTTGGCTGGCTGGCCCTGGGTGTCTCCCTTTTTTTTCTCCCTCATTCTCTCTTTTCTGAGTCTAGATTCATCCTCCTACTTATTCTACCTCCCAGTCCTGCCTGTCCCTCTACAGCCTAGCTACTGGCTGTTCAGCTTTTTATTAGACCAATGAGGTGCCTTAGGCAGTCAAACAACAAATCTTTACATGGCTAACCAAATGCAGCATAAACAAATGTAACACATCTTTACATAATTAAAGTAATATTCCATAACAACTCCTAGAGACTAATTTAGGGGCAATATATGTTATTTATTATGTATACAGTCTTCTACCTGCACACCCTCAGAGGGCACCAGATCTCATTCAAGGTGGTTGTGAGCCACCATGTGGTTGCCAGGAATTGAACTCAGGACCTCTGGAAGAACAGTTAGTGCTCTTAACTGCTGAGCCATCTCTCCGGCCCCCATTCTATGTATTTTAATACACAGCATTTCACACTATTATAGCCCAGGTTGGCCTCTGACCCACAGTAATCCTCCTGCCTTAGCCTCCTGAGTATTAAGATTATAGGCATGAACTATCACATTAAACTTCTTAATGTAAGGCTAATTTAATTTCCATGGCTATTTTTTCTTATGAATTAGAATTGTTTATTCATCCTGAGGTATGCATAGCTTTTAAAAAATCCTCTCTATATTGATTTCTACCTCAATTGTATTAACGGCAGAGACTATTCTATTACAGCAATCCTTTGACAGACAGAGATTTGATTGTTTTCAAATTGTTTCTTTAAATTTGAAAATTTGGGGATATGTTCTATACACATACATGTGTTTACACATTTCTTCATATTGGCTTGTTTCATTCATGACTGGGAGAAATGTATGAGCTTGATTTGGGGCACTTTCTTATTTTTGTCTCATGTCCAATAAGGCACAATTATTAAGTGCACTCTTAAATTTAGAATACCTCCCCAATATCTGCCAAAGTTCTTATCACCATTTTTAGATTAAGGATAAATCCTCAATATGGTCTAATCAGAAAAGTTGGATCCTTGCTTCCGGAGCACAGGATCAGCAAGAGCTACAGGTTCTGCCCAATCTAAATTCCTTCCAGCAGGGATTGGGAGACTTGAGCTTGGAGAACTTGGAGCGAATCTTGAGAACTTAAATCTGGGCTAGATTACAGAAAGCACATTGGTATACCCGGTGCCCTGCAATTCAGGATTTAATATCCCAATGAAAACATGGTGCTAGTTCTAAAGTACTTCTGGGAAGCCTCTTTCTGCTTGAAGGAAACTATGGTCTAGAGTAACCAAGGCAGGACTCTCAAAGTTCACAGAGCATACTCCTGGAATAGACTGATAACTTGATCCTGCATTAAAACTGCAGTGAGTGGGGATCAATACTGCCAAGCAACTAGTGGTAAGAGGACAGTGACATGGAATTGTGTGAAGGTATTAGGGCTCTGGTGCAGCATGTAGCTGTCGGAGGCAAAATAGAAACAGGGGGGAAGGAATGGTAGCCAAGGAGTGCAGGCCACAGTGATCTGGGAAAACACTTAAGTAGACAGGGCAAGCCAGGGGCAAGGAAGAATGGCAGCCATTGATTGTTTAAGTAATTTCTGATTAGGAGAGTAGATTCAGCTGCTGCAAGCAATCAAAACCACCATTCCTGGGGTTGGAAGTATTGTTCAGTTCATTAGGAGGACCTGAGTTTCACCCCAATAACCCACATTATAAAGAGATAGGCACGGCAGGATACATTTGCAATCCCAGCCCTGAGGAGGAACTCTTGGGACACACTGGTCAGATGTCTAGCTCCTTCAGCATGCTTTAGGGCTGAGGAAGATTATTTCAAAGGAGGTAAATGTACCTGAGGATGACAGCTGAGGTTGTCCTCTATAAACGCCCACATACAAGCCACCCTACACGTGTGTGTACGCATGCACATACACACATACAATCTCCCTTCCTCACCCAGTCCAAACTTGAGTTTTTCCTCACACCACAGCCTGTTGATGGAAGGGAAAGCTGGGTGGCTTGAGAAAGGGTGGAGAGAGTTATAACCATTTACCAGGGTATCTACACACCAAAGAAAGAAAAACTACCTCTTTAGGATTACTGAATATAGGGCCTTGTTTTATGGCTTATAGTAGGGTATTAAGTTTATCCCCACACCTTGCAAAAAGACAGATAGTAATTATTTTAGATTCTGTGGACTATAGGGTCTTTGTCATGTTACCTCTGCTACCACAGTATGGAAGGAGCCACAGCAATAGGTTAACAAATAATAATAGCTGTGTCCCAATAAGACTTTGTACATTGGGTCACTTTGCAGTGGTCAGTTTACTGACTGCTAGCTTCGGGTATGGCCAATATTCATAAAAGTTTTGTATGTTCTTGAAAATAATTTATAGCCTACAACTGTGTGACTCAAAATCTTGCACTTAGTAAATTAGAACATGTTCATCAAATTCTGATGTTCAACTCCTGTGCGATATATGTGTTTTTTAATGGAGTGTTTATAAACCATCGTCATCATCAATTTATCCACTTTTTACTTTGTAGCTGTTAATGAGCATATGTTAGTCTTGCATTTTATTCTGCATCAATCCACACTTGTACTGTTGTGAAGTAATCCTCATTGGCTCCAGGGAGAATTTTTATCTTGAGTGACAGTAGTTGGAGATTAATAAGGGTATATTAGTTTTCTTTTGGAGTTTTGCTTGTTGGCACCTATTTTTCATCCCTTTAAGATTATATTGTTTACTAACTAGTGGGAGTCCGTTCTCTCCTTCCAACCGGAGAGTCCTGGGGATTGAACTCAGGTTGTCAGACTTGGCAGCTGGTGTTTTTACCCACTGGGCCATCTTTGCCAGCTGCATCTGTTACCTTCAATAGTGCAGAGCACAAATGTGAAGTCTTAGGATCTTGGAGGTTAAAGTGAATGAAAACATTTGCCGAAGAGCGAGGCGGTCAGTGGCCTATCTGTTATTATGACAAAGGAGACAGATTTGATAAACAGGCTTTGGACAGAACGTTTTACAACTTCCCACTATGGATTCTGATGGGGTTTCCATCAGTCACTCAGTGATTACACAAGAGGTAATGTGGCTTTCTATATTTGTATTCATTAGTAACCCGAGGCACTATGGCAAGAAGTAAGCACTGGGAATTCCCAGAGAAGTTGTTTGTCCCCTCAGATCTTCACTTACCCTCCCAATGCTCCCTGAATGCCCTGGTGCTGTGGCACTCCTTTTCCTGGTGCCTCACTCTTGGCAGAACTGCATGGGAACCTCCAACACTAACAAAGTATGTTTCTGACATATGCAAGTATCAGGGTTAGGGGCTGGAGGGCTCAGTGGTTAGAAGCATTTAGAGCAGACATGGCTGTGACTTATCAGACTGTAAGACCCTAAGAAAGGTCTATGACTTCCTTAGATCTAAACTACATTATAGGAGAGTTGTCAAGGTCTCCTTTTCTGTAAGAGTGTATGGACTAAAGGAAATAGGGAAGGGGTCTCACTTGAAACAAAAAGCTCCCATGGGCCACTCCTCTGCTCTGCACCAGATCACAGCACCCAGAATCACAGCCCTCTGAAAATACATGCCTACTCCTTGGCAGAGAGATGCATTTCTACTGCCCCAGGCAGAAACAAAGAGAAGCAAGACCCCCTGAGGCCTTGTTCCCAAGCTGATGGCTCCTATTGTCACTGCCACAAGTCCCAATTATCAGTTTAGTGAAGTTCCTCTTGACTACTCACATTTCCTCCTAGCCTTGAGCTGCTTGCTTCCACTGTACAGTCAAGAGTGTGTAGGCACCCAGCAATCAGGCCCAAGCATCAGGCTGAAGGAATCTAAATAAGGCTCCATCACTTGTTAGTCTGGATGAGCTAGCCTTTCTGGGTCTCACGAAGCAATGTCGTTGGGACTGGAGAGAAGAATATAGCACAGAATGGTTATACAACCCAAGGTGCACAGTGCCTGATCTACCACTCAGCATGTGGCTAATGCCTGACCTACTGCTATACAGGAGCCAGGGCCAGAGGTCATGACCCAACATGCAACCAATTGCAATAACACCAAGCTGGAAGCTCACAGTGCATTTATCTCTGCATTTCCACCCACTGGTATGCACACGGCAAGTTAACAACATAGGAGTTGTTAGTCTAAGGCTATTGCAATTTATAGGGTATGACTTCTCAAAATGTGTCTGGAATCCACAGACAAGCTAAGCTATTCCACAAAACTTTGGTTGATTTTGGACACAGGGTCTCATGTAGCCCAGGCTGGCTTCAAACTACATATGTGGCTGAGGGTGGCTTTGAACTCCTGATCCTCCCATCTCTACCTACAGGGTGCTGTGACCAAAGGCATGCAGTACTTCACCTCATTTATTCTGTGCTGGGGAAAGAACCCCAAGGCTCTGTGTATGCTAGGCAAGCATTCTACCAACTGAGCTCCATTATCAGCCCACTTCTGTCAATTTTAACAAAGCACCAGACAGACAGGCTTAAGGCCAACTGAATTTGTGGCTGTTTAGGAAACCTTGTAGGGCATGCCTAAAGCTCCAATCATCAGGCACAATGGACACAACCACAGCTCCAACCCGTTTCCCTCTGTCCTCCCATAATTCCCATCTCCACCCCCACACAGGGCAAGGTAACCCCATGAGTAGCACTGGCGGCCAAGCTTGATGACCCAAGGTCAACCACTAACACTCACATGGTGGAAGGAGAGGAATAAGCATGCCAATGGCTGTTGTGGACTTCCCATCCCAACAAAATAAATGTAAGAAGATAACAGGAGACAGATTTCATCTCAACAACACAGACTTTTGCAGACAAGAAAGGTGACCCACACTTTCATTTTCCTTTATTTTTCATTGATACCGTATGGATACAAAGTTTCTAGAAAGCTACAAAATGTCTACCACTTTATCAAGAAGGCATCAAAATGTGTCACTTTGCAAAGACATGAAAACACCTGCAGGAACTGACACAAAAATAGCATTTTTAGAGTGATGAAATAATTGCACTTAACTGTCATGGATATTAAAGTTATCACACATATGTACCGCGAAAGCTAGAATACATTTTTTTTTTACAAAGCACTTTATAAAAAAATTCTCTGCACACAAACCCTATAATTTTCATATAACTATCATACTAAAGATAAATTCACTTTAAAGCCAACACTTACATTTTTAAACAAAAAGGTACCAGTACCTAAACACAAATGTTAACAAATACAAGAATACTGTACTGCCGGGAGCTTTAGCCAAATGCCTTTTTGAAAGTTTCTGCAAACAGTTTAAGAAAACATGTGGACAAATCACTACACCCTCTTCTCCATGGTCTCCCCAAAGAGGAACCCAGTCACACAAAGGCTCAGGTTCCGGCCCAGTCCCAGCAGCAGTACAATCTCAAAGGAACCACTGACCAGATGAAATGCTAACGCCACAAGCCCATCCTATACACTTTACACGAGAGACAACAGAGAAGCCATGAAGTCGCTTAGAATGTGAACAAACACACGTGGCAAAAACCAATTTTCATAAAATTTGAGCATATCAAAGAAGTAAAGGCTTTTCAGGTTTTTTAAACATTACCAAAAAAAAAAAAAAAAAAGTTTTTTTTTTTTGTGATTTTTCAGGCACGTACTGTTTTCATTTTTACTGTTTTTTTTTTCCTTGTCTGAAATCATAAGCCCACTGAAAAAGGCCTAGAGAAGTTGATCTTTCAAGGAGGTAACAGGAGACGTACATTTGTTTCTAAAGAAGTGCAGTTAATATCTATTTTACACAGTGAAACTAATCACAGAAAACAATTAATTTTTAAAACAAAACCACAAAACTCATGGACAGGGTTTCCAAAATGATGGATGTATGTGTATATGTGTGTGTGTGTGTGGGGGGGGTTCTGCCCACCTTTCTAAGAAAGAGGGGAAACAGAATGTCCATGGTGAAAACTGGCAAGGGCCAAGCTGAGCGAGGCTGGAGCCTAGTGGGATCTGACCCCATGGTATGAACAAGGGTGAGGGGACACACATACAAATGCTGCTTCTACCTAAAATGACGTAGTGTGGAGCACAGGGACCCAATGCCGATTCACAGAGAAAACAAGTTAGGAAGGAGCAATAAATACAGATATCTCAGTCAACGGTACATGACTTCAGTGAGGCCTACCCTTTGCAATGCAGTACATTTTAAACACAAACCTTCATATTTAAGGATATAAGCAAAGAGTTTAGGAGAGACAACTACCACCAAACAAGACAGCAATGGCTAGAAGGAGGCACAAGAAAACACATTTGACTAATTTCTTCAAGTTGTGGTGTGTGTTCCTGCCAGGGAGGAGTCCAAGACACCAAACAACTAACTCTAACCTGTGCTAAGGAATTATCCTTTCCATTTGATAGTTGATTTTCTTTAAAAACAAAACAAAACAGGGCTTTTATACAACTTGGGGTGGATACAAGCCACTCCTGCAATTTCAGAGCCCAGGGGGGCTATTCCTTAGACATCAGGGAAGGACAAAGAACGAACATACGTGGAAGAGTTTCGAGGCTAACTTTCAAAGTTGTCTGTCATTTACTTTTACACTTATATCAGCAAAGGAATTTTAAAAAAGAAAAAGGAAAAAAGAAAAAGACCTTATTTCTTTCCTGGCTTCTTTTTGCCTCCTTTGTCCTTTTCCTTACTGTATGGGGTTTCCAGATGCACAAAGATTTTACTCTAAGCTAACACTTCTTCAAAGAGTTGGCTCTCTGAGGACTAGAACATTCTTGAAAATGCCGAATTGCAAATGTGCTCTTTCGAAGTCTCTCACAGCACATTCGGACATCCGGAGCCAGTAAATCTGTCTAAAGACACTTCAACTGCAATGACCCTAATGAACCCATTTTTAATTTTTGTTCTGCACTGTCATCTTAATGTGAGGCTTCCAACGACCAAATGGTATCACTGTGTAAAGCAGGCAAGTGCGCACTGTCGTCCCAGTGGACGAAAGTCTCCACAGACTGGACATGGACACATGGAGAAGGCAAAGCCGTGGTGTCTGTCCACTGGCCGGGATTCAGGTGCTTGTGCGCGAGTTCCTTCCCAGGGATGCAGAGCTGGGTGACGAGTTGACGGACATGCCGGGGGAGGGGAGTCGGCACACACAGACACAACAGTTTGTGGGGTTCCCCGCTGCCGCACTGTGCTATAGGTGAGTGGTGGTGGAGTCCCCACTGGCAGGCAGACTCCCAGCAGGCAGGGACCACATGGTGCTCTCATGAATAGAGGCCTGTGGTTGGTTACTCATCCCGGTTAACCAAAGGCATTATGGTGATCTCAAAATATTTTTGGTCTCTCTACAAATTGTCGTTATTACGGTGGCACTTTCTAAGCTGGAATCTGGAGCCAAAGGCACTTTCATGCTGGAGTGCAGAAGATTCACAAATAGCTAAGTATTTGGTCATGAATTGAAAAAGGCATCAATGAAAAGTACAATTCACTCTTCATATTAAACTGCGGAGTTGCAGCCTTTAGTTTTGGTATGGATACGTATGTGAGAGCATGGTCAAAGGACTGACTTGGGTTCTGATTCAGGTTGTTTGAAACCAAGTCATCAGCTATAGAGCTAGATTTAAAAACGGGCTTTTGAAACAAAAATGAGAACCGTTTTGGCTTGTCCTGCTTCGGATACTGGGCCAATTAGCAAGTGGACACCGAGAACAGGCCTGAGAAAAGGCTGGCGGCTACTAAGGTATTACTAAGGCACTGCTTCACTGGGAGGCTTTGGCAGCTGTGAAGTGAAAACTCCCTTAAAGAAAACGAAAAGTAACAGTAGTAAGAGAAATGCTTCCAGCTTACAAAAGGGCTCACGGTTCCCAGGCAGCCTGTCACACCGACACCCTACAACGTGACATCTCCAAGATTTAAGGCTTTTCGGAAAAGACACGTGCAGGGCTTAGCCACAGAAACATCAACACAGAAGTCAGCAACTCAAGCATCCTCCTAATGTCACAGTGAGGATACCAACACAGTTATCCTACCCTTCCTTAGGACAGGTGTGGTACACCAGAGCATATACAAAATTATATAAATTATAGGTACCTGGTTTGTAAAACTGACCATCATGTGACTTCACTCATTTATGGTTGTATAAAAACGTGGCTATTGCCACCATGGTACTGAAGCCTAATGAAGCCTGGATCTAAAAGTCCTTTGAGGAATTTCAACAGCAAAGGTTCTATTTTGGCTGGTGTGTGAGCAGAACTTTGCTGCTGGGACGGGTGGCAAATAGAAATTTGACTCAAAGCCTATGGCTGGAGAACTGTCCTCCAAGAACGTGAAGAGGCGCATCAGACTTGGCATCTGCTGTGGTCCCCAGACAGCTACAGGGGATCTGTCCATGCATTCTCAGGGATCACTTAAGCACAGAGCACCAAGGAAAGATGGCTTCCACCCAGAAAAAGCTGAAAAAGAAAGAGAAGCCCTCACCCTTGTCTGTGACTAACTAGCTGGGAGACTTTGGACCAGGAATCTCTCATCCCCTCCAGGTGAAGGGGAATGGACTGTGATCTCTTTTGTGTTGAATGTGAGCCACCTTCTGGAACAGAACCAGGCCTGCTCCATTCCTAAAGCTGAAAGAGTTACAACAGACAGCATGAAGCAGTGTGGAAGAAACACACCCTAACAAATGATGAAGAGAGTGGGGAGCTTGTGAGAAAGAACCAAATCTGGGGGGATTTTCTTTTTAAGCCCTGGTAAAGTAAGGGCTACAGGCCAAATCAGAAATGCTCTTTAAATGGAAGTCAGATGACTACAGGGAGGGTGCTGGCTAGACGTGAGAGAAAGAGAAGCAGGGAAAGAGATGGTGGCTGTACAGGAGACACCTCTTAACAGGAAGAAGGATGCCGCTCAAGAATACCATCCACCTGCCCTTCCTGATCCTCACACCACTGGATGAGTGAGGAAAAACTGGTTATCAATGCTAAGGACAAGTAAGAGAAAGGGCAGCCATTTCCAACTAAGGTTGAACATTGTACAACCAAGGGCAATGGGCTGTGACAACTGTGAAAGTGGCTAGGAATTCTAAAAACCTCTGACAATGCATAGCGTAATGGCCACTTAACTAGCCAAAAATGTCCCTGGCCTCCAGTTAGCTGGACTCTGGGGTCCCTGGACATTTAGGTCTCTTTCATTGGATAGATGGCTTCTAAACTCTGCACTGACTTATCACGATGTCAACATATGCCCCTGACAGATCTGTTCTAGAGTCACCGTGAGACAACACTAAGGATAGGGCGAGAGAAGAGGGAAGGCAGGGCTCAGCAGGAGCTAGCTGGAAAGAGCAGAGAAGGAACCGAGAACGATGAGAGGTCAGGATTAGAGGTAAGGACACAAACCCCACCTAAGGGTTCCAATTGGGAAATAAAGCAAGTTTGGGATAACTGGGTTATTGACTAAGACAGGGAAACCCTAGAAGCCTCACAAATTGTACAACAACCAACACTGAAGACAGCAGAAAGACTGTAAGAGCAGGAGGTGGGATGGGGTGTACAGGAGCAAAACAGTATCTTCTGGACACAGGAGACCATTGTGCTCACACTCACAGCAGCTATGAGAACAAGCTGGTCAAACCCCAGCACTGAGGGTGGAAGGGGCTCATGAGCCTTTACCCCAAGGTTGAGGAGCTACTGACAGATGATGGTTTTTAGGGTAGGGGAAGCCAGTTTTCTTTTAAGAGTGTGGTTCCCAGTAGGCCAACCACGTTCCAAAAGATGTCCACACACCCTTGAGTACATGGGCAGCACAAATTTGGCATGGTGGGTGTTCTGGCTAATTTTGTGTCAACTTAACACAAGCTATAGTTATCTGAGAGAAAGGAACCCCAATTGAGAACATGTCTCCATAATAAATGGCTATAGAGCCAGGTAGTGGTGGTACACGCCTTTAATCCCAACACTCAAGAAGCAGAGGGAGGCAGATCTCTGTGTGTTCGAGGCCAGCCTGGTCTACAGAGTTAGTATCAGAACAGCCCGGGCTGTTACACAGAGAAACCCTGTCTCGAAAGAGAGAGGGGCAGGGAGGAAGGGCTCTAGGCAGGCCTGTAGGGCATTTTCTTAATTAGTGATAATTGAGGGAACATTGTGGATGGTATCATCATTGGGCTTCTGGTCCTGGCTTCCATAAGAAAGCAGGCTGAACAAGCCATGAGGAGCAAGCCAGTAAGCTGCATTGCTTCAGTCTCTGTATTAATTCCTGGTCTCAGGTTCCTTCCTAACTTCCTTTGGTGATGGACTATGATGTGGAAATGTAAGCCAAATAAACCCTTTACTCCCCAACTTGTTTTTTGTTTGTTTGTTTGTTTTTTCTTGTTTGTTTTGGATTTTTTTTTCTTTTTGTCATGGTGTTTCATCTTACCAATGATAATCCTAACTAAGATGACAGTTATTTTCTTTTTTTAAAGAACAAGAAGTTGAAAGGGGTGGAGATATGGGGATGGAAATAAGTTAGGAGGAAGAATAGGGGTTGAATATATATTAAAGGATTTTATAGCTGTTTTAAGAGCAAAAAGTAAATCAGGGTCATTCCTAATCCCCACCCCACCCCTACCTCCAGAAAGGCATTTTGAAGAAGACCACACAGTGAGGCAACAGAGATAGCATCCTAATTCTGTAAAGTCATACCCTCCCCACTGCCAACCACTATACTTGGGAAACAAAACTCCACTCCTAAGTGGCAGATCTCTCCCCCATCACATTCTGGGATGGCCTGGCCTGTAAACACAGAAGATCATTTGTACCCATTCATATAGTCCTGGTCTCAAGACAGTAGGGCATTCCTCTAGAGGAAAGATGTAGGAAATTGAAGCTAAAGGAACACCCCTAAGGGATGAACTAATGGCATCCCTTAAGGAGAGATCCTTAAACATCTGATCCCAATACAGAGAGACAGGGAGAAACCCAGGGTAGCCATTCTTTTGAGTGCTGGCTTAGAACCAGGGAATCAAGGCAGTTTTCCTGAAGAGAAAAACAATGCCCCACTGATTCACATAAGGGAGACACATTGCTAATGACAAAGTCTTGTACATTCTCCTCAGGTCTTCCCAGGGACCAGGGATGCAGCTGGGAGGAGACAGTCAGTCCAGTGTGGTTCCTTTAGCTACATGCCAGCCACGCCCAACCACTGAAGACCACAAGTTGCTGAATACAATATAAGCACAGTCAGAGCAGATGTTGGGGCAAAGAAGGGATGTGTGTCACCTGGATACAGCAGAAGTAGGATTTTACTTGATAGCCTTGGTATGAAAAAATTTTGCCATGCTGCCTTTTTTTTTAATTTATTTAAAAACTTTGTCATGTTCTATTGTGTTCACGTATTCCTGTGTGTGGGTGCACGTGTGGGTGTGTGGGTGCGTATGCTTACTTTCCTCTTACATTCCCCTGAAGTGAAGCAGTAACCTTTCTTGCTTCCCTGATGAGAAAGCACTCAGGGAAGTAACCCCAGACTGGCCACATCAGACCAACTCTACTGGGCAATGCTTTGGAATACTCAGATCAGAGATGTGTAATCTCTCTTGGAAACAGAACTTACTAGATGAGGAAGTCTGCTTGAAAAACAATCAGAGTGGGGGGGTGGTGAGTGAAAGAGAACATAAATTACCACTGAGGTTTATGAAGAGATGTCAAGAGATGCCCTTAGAGAAAATACATCCGTGTCTATAATGCAGACCAAGAGAGAGGTGGTGAGCAACTAGCAAACTGACAGGAGACAGGAGTTCAAAGAACTGAATACCCACATGTGAATGAACACTGATGCTTCCCATGCACATTGGGTTACCAGCAACCAACTACCCACAGGCTGGTGAGGGGGCTGTGTGACAGTGACAGTTATGGGGAACAGAGACACCAAGCCTGATGAGCCTTACACTTGTTCAGATGATGACAATTTTCTCCCAGCCACAGGATTCTGCATCCTTTGCAACTCACAGTGCAGTATTCATGCCAATTTAAAAATTTTGCTGTTAAATTTCAGTGGTTCAAATGTGAACTCTTTTCCATAAAAAAAAATTTGGTTGACCATATAAAATGTAACTGCACACACAAGACTATAACATTGTAAGCTTAGATTTGTTTCAGTATTATCTACTTATTGCAAAAAGAGCCATCTTTTCTTTTTCATTAAATAATCAATTATCACATTAGTACAATACAATTTTACATTTTTAAATATACTATATATGTTAAGGATAAGGGGTGACATTTTCTTCCTTTGCAACACCTGTTTCAAGAGTTTAATGAATTAGGATATTAGTTTTAACTTTGAGGGGGGAAAAGGTACAAAATTTGTCTCATTAGGATATTCCTACCAAGTATTTCTTAAGGCTATAGTTTAACATTTGGTTTTAAAAAGAAAAAAGATTTCATTTAAAAAATAATTTAGTGAATTACATTCTTCCATAACTTCCATCCTAATTAGTTACAAAGATAAGTCTAAAGAATCTTAGTTTTCTTGTACTAATTTACATTTAAAGATTAATTTTACTTGTATCTTAAAACAAGAATTTTATGTTGGAAAAACAAACAAACAAAAAAGAACTAAATACATTTGTATAAAGGCAGTCAATGCCCCATGGCCAATCCTCTGTCTCATTATTTTATACCACAACAGGAAACAGGTCTGCAGAGAGAGAGAGAGATTTAGCCTGGTAAGATTCACCTTCCCCAAGGAATTGTGGGTTGCAGATCTGAGGAATACACAAAAACTGTATCACAACTTCACAGCTACAATGATAGCATGAACACATGAAAAAAATAATAATAAGTTCACTCAAACAGGATTTAGAAAAGTCAGGGTGTGACCTGGGCATCACTTTGCCCAGGGCATCACCCGTGGTGAGGTTTACAGTCAGTCGTTCAATAATGGAGCGAGTGTGTGTGTGCACATATGTGTGTGTATATACAGATATCTATATTTATAAATAACCAGGTTCAGTCCTTTACAAGCCTGTAGATATGATGCTGTGCTCCATGTTCACTATTTGAAACTTCAAATACACAGGCCATGCAGAGGAGAGTTTCTTGTGTATCCCTGTTTGTTACCACCTGTTAAAAAAAAAAAAAAAAAAAGGGCATATGTATCATCATCCCACATAAAGGAGTGCCAAGGGCATGATGTGATGGGAGAAGAGCCAGGTTAAGGTGATGGGTGAATCAGTGTTACGATAAATCTTTCCGCCAAAAGCCGCTGAGCCTCACCACCATGTGTGAGCTTTACGCTAGCCACCTGCCCGAGTTAGGACCAAATAAATACACAGAAACTTGTATTAGGTTCAAAGCTGCTTGGCCAATGACTAGGATTCCTCATCTGTTAGCTCAGTCTCAATTATCATAAATCTATATATTTTATAAGACTTATCTTAATGGCATCCCTCCTTGCCGGTGGCTCACATCCTGCCGCTGGAGGAGGCGAACGGGAAAAAGGACGCTTCCTGTTTCTCCTTCGCCTAAATATGAGTCTCCTTGCTATGTCACTTCCTGCCTGGATCACACTTCTCTACTACATTTCCCAGAATCGTCTTTGACTCCTAGTCCGGTCTACTTGCTGTCTCATTGGCCAAACAGTATTTTATTTAACAATCAATAAGATAAACATACACAGAAGTACTTCCCCATCAGATCAGAAACCTGCTCAGCCTTGCTCTGTATCCTCCAACACATTTAGGAGATTACAAGTCCCATTGGAACCCCATCTGAGCCCAGTACCATATTCAAGGAAGACCCTAGATGTTGTAATTTAAAAGAAGTGGCTCACGCCATGCAACAGAGTTCAAGCGGGGACAGGAGCAGTGGGGTGGAGGGGACAACAGACAGACAGACAGGGAAAGAAAGAAAGAGGGGGGTGGGAGGCGGGCAGGGTCCTTTTAAAAGGAAACATATTGAATAGGTACAGGTTGTGTTCTTTATGGCAGCAGCTGAGGTAGTATCTTGTCAGAACTCCAAAGGCAGGTCAGTAAAATGCCTAAATACTAACACTAGAGACGGGTCAGGTCACCTGTAAGAAATGGTATGGTTTCTGTGTTCGGGACTAATTTGCTTACCATCAAGAATCCTCTCTCTTAGGACATTCACACATTTTAGGTGACTTTCACTCATTTTAGCATTTTTTAATCTTAATTTGAATTGACAAATAATTGTATATATTATAGTGATAATGTGACACATCATGAGGTCAAGCTAATTACTATAGTCACCATATTTATTTATTCTGTTAAAAACATTTAAAATCTTATTTTCCCATCTTACATTTAACTTGAGCTAAATTCTACTTCATAAGAGCCAACTACAGAGTTAACTTGATGGGCACCTTGATTAGTCTATCACATGAGCCAAGCAGTACCTGGATGCAGCAGAAGCATTTGCTGTGTAAAGGACAGTGGTACAGAAGGAATCTTGTCTGAAGATGCTGCATTTTGCTGACACAGGCTATATTTCTCATAGTATGTTAGGAACTACCCGTCCATTCCCCCCTGGGCCACTCACCTTCATACCCATGATCTTGGCCTCTTTCAGGTTTGAGGCCTAGCTCTCCTCCTCATGCTGGCCCCAACCCCTCATGCCACCTCAGAAGGAGCATTCTGAAGGCCAATCCAATCAAATTTACAACCTCACAACGCTTCAATGGCTTTCTGTGTCTTTCATGTTCAAAAACATTTTGAACTTGAGTGCCTTATCTAGCTTGTCAAGGACCTAATTTCCCCTCTGCAATGGTCTGCTTCACCCATTTACATTTCCCTTGCTTTCAAGCACCCAAGCTCAGTGTCCCGGATTTTGGGGAAAAAGAAAAAAAGAGGCCTCACTTCTGATTTTTTCCATGAACCTAGGTGATTTACATAGATTGCTGTTTTTCAATATCAGCTCACCCAGTGGACTATGAATAATTGGACCATGTTTTCTACTTAACCAGCTCAGGCATGGTATGCCACGATCAAGGGTTTGATGAGCGATCAAGACTCACAGTGGCCACCAATGCTGTGTGCTCACTATGCATCTACCACAGTATAAGATGCTTGGCACAGACTGGGTCACATCCAACCTCACAACTCTGTGACTGGGTGCTACCATTCCCCATGACAGAGGAGACTAAGGCACTGTGTGCTCTATACTAATCAATTCAAGGCAGTTAACCTCTAGATCTTCCCACCTATGAGCTACATTATACCTTCCTGGCACAATGGCCCTCTCTGCCAGACACTGGTGATGATTTTATTTTCCATCCACTTACTGGACGAATGCCCACCTGACCTTGGGATGGCTGCCCCACTCATTTGGTTCATCACAATATTCCTAGCACTGGACACCCAAATATGCACTAAGCAAAGTCTTACTTGCTTGGGAAATGTGAAAAATGTCTAATGTCTTTACCATCTCTGAGAACTCCACCCCTGCATTTCTCTGGACTTCTGTGGGGCTTAGTTGAGAAATACTCAACAATTTGTATGACTTTGTATCACAATCTACGCACTTGCTTCTTTGACTCAACAGGCTATAAGTCATCATGGCACAACCACTGTGCAGTTAAACTGCTTCCTGGCAGCCTATGCTATCTATGCCCATAGGGTAGCTGAGGAAATTTAAAGAATGTTACTGGTCACCTTGAGACGAAGATACAGATTTGAGTGATCCATTTATGATTGAAGACAGCTGTGCAGGTCTAAAGACTTGAAGTGGCTTGGATAGGTACATAAAGCAGAGAGCACTTTCTGCTCAAGCTTTCTTTTGACTTAAGTTTGTGTCAATCACCATGACCTTGAGTGGGTCACAGTGATTCCTTAACCACAAAAATGACACTGTAGTTTATGGTAAGAATTTTACAATAGCATTTACAAAGGGTCTTTGTATCTAGCATAATGCTAGAAATGACTGAGACACATCCATCTTCTTGTGAATTCACTCAGTCCGTCTGTCTACACTAAGCATTGAGAAATCAGGGCCTCGTGCATGGTAGGCAAGCTCTCTATCCCTGTGCGTCCCCAGATCTCTTTTTGTTTTGTTTTAAAATATTTTATTTAATTTTACTTTATATGTGTGAGTGTTTGCCTGCATGCATACATGTATAACATGCCCCTGGTGCCCTCAGAGGCCAGGAGGAGGATGTCAGAGCTCCTGGAGCTGGAGTTACAGATGGCTTTGAGACACCATGTAGGAAACTGAACCTGGGTCCTCTGTAAGAACAAGTGCTCTTAACTACCAAGCCAGCTTTCAAGCCTATCTTTTTATTATTTAATTTGAGACAGGATCTTACTAAATTGCCTAAGCTGGCCTTGAAAACTCTGTGGCCCAGGCAGACCTTGAATGTGCAATTTTCCTGCCTTGGCTTGAGAAGCTAGGATTACAGGCCTAGGCACAGGCTCAACCTCTGTAAACTTGGTATCAAAGAGATTAAGATTCAAAGGCAAAAACATATGTAACCTCAGAAGATATCAGGCACACTGGGCTCATGGCTCACCTCTGTCTTTCTCAGCTCTGCTTAAGTTATCACTGCCTCCACGTGTTCAGCTCAATTTCCTAGGAGAAAGGATGCAACCAGAGAGCCTAGACTACCAGTTGGCATGGCTTTAAACTGGCCAGACAGTGCAATTTCTCCTGCCTATCAATTACATGGTTTGTATTTTGTAGTCCTGAAGTCCATGGTTTTCTAAAGCTATGATACTATTTCTTTCTTTCTTTTTTAAAATGTGTATTGTTGTTTTGCCTGCATGGATGTCTGTTAGAAGGTGTCAGATCCCCTGGAACTGGAGCTACAGACAGTTGTAAACTGCCATGTGGTTGCTGGGAACTGAACCCCGGGTCGTCTGAAAGAACAACCAGTGCTCTTAACCATTGAGCCATCTTCCCAGCTCCATGATACTGTTTCTAACAAATGTTTCTTGGCAATTATTAATTGCCTGTCTCCACCTGCCAAGTGCAGGGATTACACACAGGTGCCATTATGACTGGCTTTAATGACACATTTTTTAACGAGGATAGCTCTGCTGGTGGACGTTGTGTGTCCAGAGGTATGTTGCTGACAGGTACCTGGGCTCTGAGAATGAGGGGCTTGGCTTTAACATCTCAGGGCCACATTCAATTCAGCCAGGCTCTCTGAGGCACAGTTGGGACTGGGGATATCACCATCCTCATGGTGCAGTCATAGACAGAGCTGGAGTTGAAATTCCTGCTAAAAGAGGTGGGTGGTCACCCACTTAAGAGCTCAAGTCATCAAGGTGGTTTTAAAGTCTAGGAAAGAACACCGTCCTCACTGCCTGATCCCAAGTGCTGAGACCTGCACTTACTTTGTTTTGTATGTATTTAGGTCAGAGTTTGGACTCTGCCACTTCATCTTATTTTTTTTTTTTTTCTTTTTGAGAGGTGATCTCTACCTAAACATGGAGCTCACTGATCAGGTCAGGCTGGCTGATGGCCTCCAGGGATTGAGCAGTTCTTGCCTCCTCAGTGCTGGGGATCACAGGCAGTGCCATGAGGCCTGGCTTCTTGTGGTGCAGGAAAACAGTCCTCAATCCTCACACTCGGGTGGCATGCACCTTACTGACTGAGCCACCTCCCCAGTTCCCATACACGTGGACTGCAGCATTTTGAGACAGTTTGAGATAGACATCTGCTCCCCTGCCACCACACACTCTGCAAACAAGGGATACTGGTGACTGTTAGAGACAGGTGATTTCTAAGCTTCAGGAGCACACAGGCACAGCTGAGAAAGAGTCTCCCTCTAGAGTAAGCCAAGCTTGTAGGAAAGATCCCATCCATGCATGTCGGCCCTGTGTCTAAGCTCTGAGTCCCTAATGGCACTGCACTGACTCCTAATTCTGGCAATGCCATGACTACTTAGACTACTACTAGGTTTGCTTGGTAACTACATTTACCTGAGCCATCTCATTGGCTTGTTTGAAGAGAGGGTCCAGCCTGCCTTCAACCTCCTGATCCCCCTGCCTCAGCCTCCCAAGTATGAGGATTACAGGCAGCATGTGCCACCACGTAAAGCTTAAATGAGAGTTTGGTTTTAAACGGGAAGGAGCAGGTGGAAAGAGCCCTAGAACCAAACAAAACATTGTATATCTAACTGAGATTCACATCCCAGTGGAACCAACATGCCAGGTAAGGCATTCCCCGAGGTCAACACTCAGGCTCACCATCCCAGTAACAGACTAACATAGCAGCCATTCAGAATGCTGTCTGACCACAGACAGCCTTGTCAGCCCTGCAGGAAAACTGTTCTCACTGAGTTTATTTTGACATTCTGACCTTCCAGGTTAATCAAGATTTTTTTTTCTTTTTAAAAAAGCCTTATAATACCTATTACAGAATATTTTATGAACATGTTTTGAGGACAAGAGCCTCTGATTCTGGTAACTTGGCAGCCATGGAGCAAAAGAGCCTAGGCTATCATTTCCTATATCTCTGTTCTGAACACAGGTCCCAAGTGGACCTGTCTTCTAATCCAAGCCCCAGTATGGCTCAAGTTTGTTGGTTGGGTCATGTAATTCAATCGGTGCCCGACCACCAAATATCTAAATTCCCTTTCTGAAAACCTTGCTACCTCCCCACCCACATTCCTCACTGTCCTCAACAAGCCCCAGGATAGACTCTGCCAATGCCAAACCAGGAGAGAGAGACAAACATTACCAATAAAATGGTGAAGTTTTCCAAAACACTGTTCATCATATATTTCTCTGGTAGGTGTTTGAGCTTGTGGATGAAGTTGATCATATATTCACACATTGGTGAGCGGTTTATTCGGTACACAAATCGGCCATTTTCGAACCTTGCATACTCCGTCTGGGAGGGAAAAGAGGCTTGAGTATTTATTATACTTCAAAACACAGAGGACGTCTGCTTCTGAAAGCATATACTTTTCAACATGAATCATCTGTTAATATGCTGCTATTTATGTAGATTATCTAAATAAAAACAAATGCTACCTTTACTGCTATACATAGAATCTACTACTTTCCTGGAAGTTTAAAAAAGGTTGCAAAGGGTGACCTTTAAAGGACTTGATGGATTCTTTTAGCAAAAGTGTGTATGTGTGTGTTCACGTGCGCATACACACACACTGTACTTCACACAACTCTAGGTAAAAGGCAAAGTAACACAAACTTAGAGGACATGATTTTGGCCCTGCAAAACACAACTACCAGCACTGAATCACCTATGGTCAAGGAAACCGCAGAAGTGACCACTAGGCCAGAATACACAGAGAACTCAAGACCCTAAGGGAGGAACCACCTGGTGACAGATCCTCTTTTGAGACAAGTCTATGTAGCCAGGGCTGGCCTGGAACTAGACATGTAGATTAGGCTGGCCTTGAACCTGCTGAGTTCAAATCAGGCTCCAAAACCCAAAGTCTGTTTGTTCTAGAAACCAGAATCTAGAAACATGAGACTGACACAAATCATAAAATATTCAGAATTCAACAAGACACAAACCAATATGATAAAAACCATAAAATCCTATTATAATACCTATAATGAGACAGAAATGCAAATAGATTTAATATTAATAATATATCATTTCAAATGTAATTACACTGCACAAATTTTTTGTCTTTCTTCAGACTAAATAAACTGAACATTATTTGGAAACAGGAAGGCTGGTTCTTAGCTTAGCAAAGATGGAAAGAGAATCCTAAAACGGACTTGTTTCACCTGACCCCAAAACCTAGCTACAATGTCACTGTGACTAAGGCCATAGGGAACTGAGTGGGATGGAGACACAGAGAACCACAATCCCCTCCCCCCAAAGCTCCTAGGATATGTCGGAATGCTACAGAGACAGATTCAGCTGGAAAAAAAAGATTAATATTTAACAAGTATAGCTAATTTCACATTCATTTTGTGTTTATGATGTGTTTTTTTTTTAAGATTTATTATGTATACATTGTTGTGTCTGCATGTATGACTGCAGGCCATCAGAGGGCACCAGATCTCATTATAGATGGTTGTGAGTCACCATGTGGTTGCTGGGAATTGAACTCAGGACCTCTGGAAGAGTACTCAATGCTCTTAACCTCTGAGCCATCTCTCCAGCCCTGATGTGTGTATTTTGCATGCATGTGGAGGTCAAAGGACAACCTACAGGGTTACTTCTCTCCTTCTACCATGTGGGTGTCAGGGCTTGAACTCAAGTCCTTAGGCTTGGTGGTAAGTGTCTTACCTGCTGAGCCATCTTGCTGGCTGATACCCACCCTCCAGATCTAATCCTAATTTTGTGTTCCTGCTACTCTGTCAGGGCAGCCAGCTTCTCTCCCACCCCTAGTTTTAATTATCCCCAATGCTTAGGATTCCCAATTGTTATTTCCTGTCTCCCAAGTCTAGTCTCCTATCTCCAGTCATCTCCTATTTATCCCTTGAAAATGTACTTTCTGGTCACTGCTGCTGGCAAACATAGAGTGTGACCTCTGGCTTTCCCTCCCCTTTAAGCTTTAATACACAGTTACTAAATTCCATTTAAAACCTCTTACTGGAGTCTCACTGAAGCCATTTCAAGAAAGCTCATGACCTCTATTAAATTCAGCATCAACTCAACCCACCCATATCTTTCCCAGCCTTTTTAATGTCCATCTCATATGGCCAGAGCTATGCTCAGAAGGCTCGTGGGCAGCCCACACCATCAGGGCTCTGCTTAAACTCTTCCCTCTCCTATCAGGCATCCTCTAGCTTGGTTGGAAGCTAACGGCCCTGAGAGTCCAGAACTGCTGCAAATAAACCCTGACACTTCAGGTGGTAGGGGTAAGGCAGAAGACACTGGAAAGTAGGTAGGTTAAAGGAATGCCACCTGCAAGCCTATTCACAAAAGCAACTAACCCCGATAGGACAAATGTGTTTGTAAAGGAAAGGGGATATGAAATATTCAAGTTGAATGTAGGTATTTCCTAATGTCAGGATGAAATGTTTGAGTTTCCGTGTTCACTTTGAGACAGAGATTCTGATTAACAGCTCAGGCTGGCATGGAACCGGGAGTCTAATGCCTCAGCTTCTTGAGTGCTGGGATTACAGGCATGGATCAACATTTCCCACTTTAATTTAAACTAAAAAAAAATTAAAATGAAAAAAGTAAAATAGCAAAAGCAACAATGTCAAACTCAAGGTGTCAGGTTTTAGATGGGGGAGGGGACACCAAGATGCTGCAGCCACCTTGATCATCACACACAGTGCCTGCATCCAGGGATCGGGGAAGCATCCTGACCCAGAGGCCCTTCAAAAAGGCTCTAACTCAGAAGACCAGTACTGGCCAGTTGGGCAGGGCTTCCTTCACAGAGAAGGCTAGCACAGAGCATCCTGTTTGCTTTCAGATGCCACCCAATCCTTTTCCCTTTACAATGTAACAGGGAAAGGTGCAAGTGAAAGAAAGGCACTATCCTCTACCCGCTGCCTGCAGGATGTTTAAACGAAGGACTTTCTCATCTACAGAGGTCAACTTACCTCTACTTTTTCTACTACTTGTTTCCCAAAGGAGCACACTTTGGTGGAACAGGTAACCGTCATGTTTTCAGAGCTCTCGTACTGACTGCTCACACCATAAAAAGCCCCGGCATCATCTTGGATATTGCAGTTTAAGTCCGCCTGTTGGAAGGAAGTGGGGGCAGGTTAATTCTCTCATCCTAGGATCACGGTGGCAAACAACAGAGTAAACCACCAAACAGCTATGCAGTGGGGAAGAGAGACCTCTCTACAGACACTACCTTGACAGGAAGCCATTTCCTTCCCAGGCAGGACTGGAACTTGCTATATATATATATATATATCCAGTCTCTACCTCCTAAGTGCTTATAGGAATGTGCCACCATACCCAGTTCCCACGTGCCAGGGATTGAACCCAGTCAGGGCCCACACATGCTAGGTAAGCACTCCACCTACTAACTGAGCCCTGCAGTGGTACACATCTTGGAAGTTGTCCCATATGAGGACATGCTACCAACATGAATTCAGTCTGACTTGCATCCTGTGCTGGAACAGCACTGTATCCTTGTAATGGAAATTCTAGAAGATTCTAAAATGTACAGAAAAGCAGGGCATGAACTAACTGCCAATCTAATGAGAGACTTTAAAAAAGACAGGCCCCTACAGATGACACCACATCCAGGGAGGAAAGGCTTCCTATTAATGACCACCCTACAACAATGCTAAATCACAGCTCATCAAGTTACTTAAAATTTGCACAATAACTTGTCAATATACATACATGTTTTAAAAATACCAAACAAGCTAGAATGACAGTTATGTTCTGACATCAGCAAAGCTGATGATGACAGTGTCTACTCCCATTCCTATGAGCTGAAGGGAAAGTTGCCACCCATGGAGGCCACAAATCTAGATTCCACAGGAATCTCTTTGTTTATCCAGTGCTAACTCTATCTAAACTTTCAAACCCTAAACAGAGGAGTGGCTGAGTCTCCTCCTTCATTCTCACCATCACTACACGACTGTCACTCATTACAAATCTGTTAAAGGAAACCAATGGTTGAGGCTATACCCGGGGCAATGCTTGCTCAAGCTGAGGCTGCAGCTGTAGCAGGCTCAGACAACTGTTACAAATAACTTCAGGAAAGAACTATAATGCATCTATGTGCCTTACTAAAGGCTAATAACACAGGCTAGGAGTGCTAAATTAAAGCATGTATGTGCTGTGTATATAAAACAAAACTCCAATTTATCATTTCCTTAATTATTTAGGAATTAGGCAAACAACTTAGAAGGGTATTTCACCAGTAGAAGCTGTGTGCACATGATAATAATGGAAAAACTTTTTTAGACAAATGGTTCCTGTCATTGTCAATCCCCACAGAAAAGCAACCCTCTCAGCTTAAGCTCGCACCAGGTCATGTTCATTTCTGCTTTGCCCTGGGTCATTGCTGTGTCTTAGGAGTATCCAGATACTGCTGACAAGCTTTCACTTGGAGTAGATGATCTACCATTATACCTTCCCTTAAAAATGATGTTACTGGTCAGGTATGGTGGCACAGCCCTGTAATTCCAGCATTCTGGAGGCTGAGACATGAGGATTGCAGCAAGATCGAGGCCAGCTTCGTGTACAGTCAATTCAAGGCCATCGAGAGCTACATGAGACTCAGTATCAAAAAATAAAGTCACTAACACTAAAGGTCTGGAGGGATGGCTCAGCCTTTAAAGGTTAAAAGCTCTGGCTGCTTTTCCTGAGGACCTGGGTTTGATTCTTAGCACTAACATAGTAGTTTACAACTGTCTGTAATCCCAGTTCCAAGGGACCTAATGCCCTCTTCAAGCCTCTTGAGTACCAGGTACTCATGAGTATGCAGACAGATTCCACAATAAGGGTGGATACAGTGAAATACCTAGATACACTAAATAAATGAATAAATAAATAATAAAGAAGAAAAGAAAACTTCAAGGTGCTGGGGCTGAAGTTCAGTTGAGAGAATGCTCACCAAGCATGTACCTCAAAACTGGCACAAGTTCAAGGTCATCCTCAGTTACACAGTGCATTTGAGGCCAGCCTGGGATGTATATGATGCTGTCTCAAACAAAACAAACTTCAACAACAGTATCACAAGGTGTCCACACTGGTGCTTTGCTTGGTCCCCTGGTAATTTTATTTTATTTTTTTCGTTTTTTTTGAGACACGGTTTCTCTGTAGCTCCAAAGCCTATCCTGGAACTCGCTATGTAGATCAGGCTGGCCTTAAACTCCCAGAGATCTGCCTGTCTCTGCCTCCCGAGTGCTGAGATTAAAGGCGTGGCGTATGCCACCACCCCCTGGCTCTTCTGGCATTTTACTTGTGATGTTCAGCCATGGGATTTCTCGTGGTTCATTCACCCTTGTTACTTTAGCATAGACTGGTTCTGAGCCTATCTTATTTTATCTTTCTCTTACATTCCAAAAGAATAAGTCAGGCGGTGGTGGCACATGCTTTTTAATCCCAGCACTCAAGAGGTCGAAGCAGGCGGATCTCTGTGAGTTTGAGGCCAGCCTGGTCTACAGAGCGAATGCCAGAGAAACCCTGTTTCAAAAAAACCCAAAATTCAAAACCAAAATAAAACAAAAATTCTAAGAGATCTTCAAACTGAAGATGTAAATTTCAGTGTTTAGAATTTGAAAGGCTTCCCCAGCGAATGGCAAATAACCCATTTGGCACTATCATAACTGCTTTAAAAAGCTATCCCTGTGCGTGAAAAATAATCACACAGTCATCAACCATGTCACAGATGTTCTTTAGGGATAATCTATGAGAAAGCACTGATGTGAAAGGGAATTACCTGCCGGCTTTAGAACATGAGAACTATTCTTGAAAGAAATGAACTCCCCCAAAGCAAGGAAAACATAAGAAAGAATGCAAACATTAAAGCAACAAAGGACATAGTTGTATTGAGTCTGGGGCTCACAGAAACTCCCTACCCACCCTGTAGATTTCCTCACAACCATCTAACTCAGACTGAAGGGGTGGCTCAGTGATTAAGAGCACTGACTGCTCTTTCAGAAATCCTGAATTCAATTCCCAGCACCCACATGGTGGCTCACAAGCATCTAGAACTGTAGTCTCATGGGATCAGATGGCCTCTTCTGGTGTGCAGATAGATGTACAGGCAGAAGCACACCCATATACATAAAATAAATGAATCTTCGAAAAACAAACACCTAACTCATGGAATTCTGAAGGGGAAAAAAATTATATTGCTCTTGCAAACTTTCTGCCAGTTTTTAATCTAACCACAGGGTGTTTTCTGAGAGCAGGTAAACACAATATAAGAAACAATGGAAGAAAACCCTCACTCTTGCTGCATGCCAGATTTGAAAAATATCCTGGACTCTGAGCTAGTTGGAACAGGCTGACTGTAGAGTGCATTCTGAAAAGGGGAGGTCAGATAGCCCACGGAGGCAGTCCTTCTGACAGACCCACTCAACTGCCCTAAGGATGAATGGACTTGAGAATTTAACTCTTTCTCCTCCATGCAGAAACTCCTCTCAGGCTACCCCAGCCAACACTACCCAATGTCTAAATGTTTCCATGAGTTTCTTCAGCAGCATTGCAGGATGCAGTCAATGGTCACACAGCTGCTTTTCTGTCCAGTGTGCTCCCTGCTGCTGTTGCAACAAACTGCCACAGATTTAGAGGCTTAAAACATTAACCGATCTTACACTCAGGTGGCCAGAATTCCTACTAGGTCTCACCAGGCTAAAACCAAGTTACGAATTAGCAAGGCTGCCTCTCATTGGAGACTGTGGGAGAAAAATCTGCTTCTTAGCCTCTTCTAGTGTCTAGGGATACCTGAATTCCTCATGTGTTGCTCCTGCTTCCATTCCTTCTTATCTCTCTGGGTGTGTCTTCTATATCACTCTTCCCCCCATGATTACACCAGGCTCAGTCAGAAGTACCCTCCTCCCACCTGCATGATATAACCCCCCATGATTACACCAGGCTCAGTCAGAAGTACCCTCCTCCCACCTGCCCCTTAGCCCCACTGTCCTCTTCTCTGTGCCTTGCTGGGTAGTGTGACATAGTCACAGACCCCACAGATAAAGGCAATGGCACTCCCTGGGGCATCACAACTCTGCCTAGCACAGGTGCTGACAAGTTGTTGGTAAAGGTCCATTAAGAGAATAATAGCATCTCTCTCAGAGACGGAATCCCTGGCCTGGGTGGAGACCTAATAGTCCAGGTGGGCAGGGTCAAGGACCTGGCTAAGGGACCGACTGCCCTTCAGGAAAATGGCTCTACTCTCTGTAAGGTAGGTTCACCTCAAGCCATTCTAAAGAAGTAATTATTAGGCTTTAATGAGATAGTGCACTTCTTTCCCAGAATTTCTGCCTCAAGTCTGCAGTATACCAGGGCCACAACTATAGGGCTCCAGGAACCTGCCTTCTTTCCTGAATTAACTCAGAAAAGCTTCCTCTTTCCTTTTCTTCTTTCTCCCTCTGTTTTAAGCATGCTGCCTCGTGCACCCTGGGCTCCCTTATGCTTCCTTTAAAGGTCTCCTCCCAGCCATGCCGTTGCCTCTCGGCCATGTGGTTGGCTGACCTCCATGGCAGTTAACTCAAATGGCATGCCTCCCATCTCCTCTTCTCCTTCCTCCTCTCCAAGCAGTGCTGAGATTTGCAGTTTGTTTGCCTTGGGAATTTTCTTTGAAACTCTATAAAGAGTTGTTCTCTCACTCCATTAGTCCATTCTTAAATTCTCTTATTAATGAGACTAAGAATTTCAAGAGGGGACCCTGATTTCCCTGGCATCACTGCTTCCGGTAACGTCCACCCAGACCTCCAGATGTTAGAAGACAATTCTCTCTTCAATTCTGTTGAGCTCTCCTATTATCTCCCAGTCTTTCTAGTGGGCTCCATCCTAGGACTCAAATTATAATCTGTTTTCATTAACCCCCCCCACCCCGTGTTAGATTCCTATCTATCCAATCCAGATATTCTGGATGCTGCTTCACCTGTCATTGCCTCATCTCTGTCATCTGAACAATGGCATGGACAGCAGGGCCTCACATTTCTCATCTTTAACCAGAAAAGATGACACGGCCAACAGCTGCTGTGGTATAGTGGGAAATGGGTGCATACCGATGCACCTGTAAGCTGCAAAGTACTGTACA